GTTCATGACAACTCTGCACTTGTTGATTGTTTGCATGCTGTAAACAGCCCATCTGTAAATCTATATGCTTCTTCTGTAGCATATCCTGAACTCCAAGTAACACTACATCATGTTGCTTTAGCTGAACATTTGCCATCTGACCCAAGGTGGAAACCTCAGCAATGTTGGTTGGACCACAAGTCTGCAATTAAATCTTAAAGTTTTCCTAGTTTGCTGGGACCTCATTGGTACTACTATACTATCTATTCAAATAGACCCTGTCTGTAGCAGTTGTATTCAGACGGTGAGCTCTTGGTGGCATCTTGCAAATGTGTGTGTGATTACTTGCAACTGTTGGGCAACCGACCACAAGTCATTGCACCTGGCGCTAATTGCTAGCTTTGTATGGTGTCATTTGATTCCTATACTATTATCCCCGCCCGCTTTGATACGGCTTGTCGTTTGTTTTTGGCAATGAGCAAGCACTGCTTATTTTGTGATATCTTCAATTGTATCTATAGCATTCATCCTCAGGGAATTGGATAATGACCTGAAATTTGGTGACCCTTCTTTGACTACTGACGTTGAAGACCGTTTTGATTTTTTATAAATCATAATGTGCTTGCTGTCCTATTTGTCACCTCTGATTCAGCAGCATGTAACCTTGACTATGAATGGCCGGCACCAGAGTTTCAGGGTTATGATTCCGATCTGAACTTCACCCAAGAAAAATAGCTGCTGAATTCTTCCGTTCGTTGTTCATCTCATTCTTACGTCTCCTGGATATATGCTAATCTTCGATGTGTGAACCTCTATATCTTTGGAAAATGCAACTGGCCACTGGTGAGTGCTTTTGTCGCAGCTAAGAGACTGAGGGCATGTTGATATCCATGGACGAGCGATTGTGGTCCGTAGTTTAAAGTTGTTTGGTTCACGGTCCAGAGAAAAATATTTCCTCTACCTCTATATATTGAAAATGAGCTGGTCATTAAAAAAAAGGCCGGATAGATTTATCCAGATTTTCTAACCCTGTGTTTGGCACAAAATCAGCAATAGATTGCACGTTGTACTAGTAACCACTAACCACTAGTGGAATTATTGGGCTGGTGGTGCGATCTTGGCCGCATCCCACACGGATACTATGGAGTGGCCATCTACCAACCTGCAGTATGACATCGACGACCGTGTCAAATAAAATCCTAGCTGTTCTATTTTGCCTCGCCGAACGGGTCCCGTCCGGTGCTCGTCGTCACTCCGCTTTCCGATCCGTGACCACTGGTGCTGCTGTGGCTCTCAAACCGCGTCTGTCTCGATCCAATGAAGTGGAGATCTGTACTGCTGTACAGGCAGTACCGTGGCCTTGTGCTGCTGTGCATTCGCTACTTCTTCATGTGCAATGCATTTTGTACATGTCGTATGCCTACTGCCCTATCCTCGAGGAGGAAATGGACGTTTCCGCACCATTGATTACCTTTCTGTTTTAGAAAGGGAGGAGTCGCCATTGATTGCGTCGAGCTTACTACCATGGTCCATGCATCGTCCATGGAGAAAGAGAACACAATGCAAGCACCAAATGCAGAGGACGATAGATGGACGTCGTCGGTGGCAGGCACTGTGTATCCAGCCAGAGCAGCAGTATGCAGATTTATGGCTGGCTCTACCAGAGGAAGGATCGAACTACTATATGCATGGTCAGCGTGGAGAGCTGGCGATCCTCGCGACCGACATGAATGGTCCAGCGCTGGCATGGCCTACACAGCACACCCCCCTCGCCGTTGCATGTCCCGATCTGTTCTTCCAGTGTAGCATTGAAAAAGGGAGAGGAGCCGGCATTCTGTAAGCAGTGAGATAGAAAAATCTCTCCTCTTGAACAGCATGCACGCATGGTAGTGGTGGCTGCTTGGCACATCCAAATCATTCCTCGTCACCAACGTGCTAGTAGCCCACCTTGAATTCATGCACTGACAGATGACCTAAAACAGTCTCTGGCGATTTAGTGCCTGTTTAATTTCCAAAATTTTGTAAAATTTTGCAAGATTCTTCGTCACATCTAATCTTTGGACGCATGCATGAAGCATTAAATATAAATAAAAAATAAAACTAATTACACAGTTCGAAATTCACGAGACGAATCTTTTAAGCCTAATTAGACTATTATTGATACTAATTGCCAAATAACAACGAAAGTATTACAGTACCATTTCCCAAAAAAATTCGCCAACTAAATAAGGCCCTAGTCCTCTGACAATCGGCCTGTTCGTTTTTTTTGTTTCAGTCAGCCATGGTATAGTGTTTTTCTCTCACAACAACCCAGCATAAGTCGGACTTATCAGCTCAGAAACCAACCCGCGAACATGCTGAATATATCCTCATCACAGTTCTGCACTCTCGAGTAACCAATGTTCATTTATTCACTCATTGCCTCACAGTGCTCACACAGTCAGACGGGGGTTGATCTTGATCACTTGCGAGGTTAGGTTAGTTTAGGCAGATGGCGACGGCAACAGAAGTTGAGGGACAACTAAACACCGTGGCCTAGCTTTATGGAAGCATCACTGACCCACTCGCCCGCCTCGCTTTTACAGAGCCGCACGACGTCAAATCAAGCAGCCAACCAAATCCAATCGGGGATGGCAGTGGCAGTGAGCCAGCGACTAGCGACCAGTGCGTGCGGCAGTGCGCGGCGAGCCCATGGCCGGGAAATGGGCGCTGCAGCCTCACAGACAGAGGAGTGGGTCGGCTCAATTCACGGCTGGGTGGGGCACATGGTAGGCAGACCGGCCGTTTCGCCTCGCCTCGCCTAGGTGCCCACCACCGGCGGCCGGAAGGTTCGGCCTCGGTCGCTAGTGCATGGGCGTGGGAGCGGTTCAGGCGCCAAAAAAAAATGCAATCGGGGTCGATTCTTTCACGTATCCAACGTCCATCGCTCCGTGCCGTGGCGTGCGCGGGAGCGCGATTTGCCGCCGCGCTCCGACAGGATGCGCCTTTCCAGCCGCAGCGAAGTGGCGGGCTCGCGGCGTCCCCATGATCACTGGCCAGTATCCGCCGCAAAAGCGGCGTCGGCACACGGGGAGCCAGCCAGCCAGCCACGCGGTTTTCCCGTCGGCTGCATGCGGCGAGCGTGTTTTCTTGGTTCTTTGGTACAGCTTATAGCAACGTAATTAATGCTCAAAATAAGCAAACATCATGAAATGGTTTTCATGAAAGTGAAGCTACTCTTGACCCTTTTTCAAGAAACCAGTTTATTTTAGAAACCACGTTTATTTCCTCGTGGTCGCACTCTGGAGGAAGAAGATAATTTATACTTAGAAAGATAAAATAATTCATAGAAACCATGGGTTGGAAAGCGATTTTTATTTGCGGTGTCCTATGTTTAAACCATCGGCTTTTTTCGTTGGGATCGCCTTATGCTCAAAATAAGTTAAAATCAACAACATCAAACGTCACGCTTTCGTTTTTTATTCGCCACGCTTATTTAAAACTCCCATTTATACTTAGGGCCTCTTTGGCACGGCTTATGCCTTTCGGCTTCATCTATTTTTGTAAATCTTCAATGTAGTGAAGAAGCTTTTGTAAGTGGGTTAAAATGAAAAGAAGCCGGAAAAAAAGCTTTAAGTGGTTCGGCTTGCTTCTTCACCGCTTATTTTGAACGACCGCTTTTATTTTAATCGTCGCTTTTACTCTATTTATGCAGTTTATCTGAAAAGCACTTTCTAGATAAGCTATACCAAACTATGCCCATTACACCTTGCCTTGCCTAGAATGGGAGTGGTCAGCCGGAATGATTTCGTAATGTACCGGCCAGCTCACAACTCACAAGGTACATGAAGAAAATCGGCACTGCCGCGTGGTCATACACCTTCACGATGGGGTCCTGAATTTATGACACCAGAATCCTGGACGCCATGCTATTTTTCGTTCAACCCTAAGATTACCAACATTTATAGTATGAAGTGGTAGCGGTTCAGTAATGTCGACTGTCGAGTATAGCATGATGCCCGGTGCCCCGATAAGGCCATGACACACAATCTAGACGGTTAGAGTATGCCACTTATGATCGCTGAACAAGAGCAAAGACAGAAGGACTATAGCTTCACGGATTTCAGCAACCAATTGATTTCCCTCCTCCAATGTGCATCGCTTCTTTTGATGTGTATGTATAAACTTGCCGCGGCCAACCTCGTCGCCCTAGTACACATGCTGAACCTGAAGGAGTTTTTTTACCTGCGATCCCCGGGATTGCACACGACGTGCGGCGGCGACCGGCGACCGGCGACAGTGGTTTGGGATCTAATGTCCAGCATAATTATTAACTAATCCGTCTGTCAATCATCAGTGTTAGTCTAATAATCTCTACGTGGCAGAGTTTAAAATCCAGCGGCAGGGGCGCCACGGTGCCAGCACGTTCAGAAAAAACAACGCGAGTAATGCGACATGCTGTAGCATCACGAGACCGGCCGAACCCAACACACGTCAATCGAAATCGGTACACCTCCAAAATCCCGCGGGGCCCGCACGCATTAATTTTTCAGTTCCATTCCCAACAGCACCCCCACCCCCACCCCCACGTCCCGTCTCTCCCACCGGCCGCGGGCCCAGTGGACCATGGCCCACCTGTCACTCAGACATCCGAGAACCGTAATCTCCAGCTCTATTTATACTGGTGTGTTAGCGAGTAGCCCACCAGTGTCAGCGTCGTGTCCGTCCCGTCCCGTGTTCATCTGGCTGCTCTTCCCGTTCCGTCCTGTGACGCGTGGGTAAGGAGGAGATCCGGATTCCGGAGGGAAACGCCGAAGGGCCTTCACTCGATTGCTACTTGGTCTGGTGCTGTACTGCCGCTGCTATCCTCTCTCCCCCCCATTACTCGTGTAATGGCGAGGAGGCAGTAGCGCTTCTCAGTGGAGCAGCGCAGCCCATCGCTTAATTGCTCGCTGCTGCGGTCCAGTGGCGTGGCGGCCCGCGTGTCGCGCTCCATGCGGCACTGGTGCGGCTCGTGAGATCCATCCGCAGCAGCAGCAGGCATGTCGCGGCCGCTGTACAGGGGCGTGTCGGGGATCGGCGGCAAGCTGGCGGCGGCGGACGAGGCGTACTACGACCCCAAGGAGCCTAGCGAGAACGGCATTGGCGGCGGCGGCGGCGGCTTCGGCCGGGGCGGCGCGCGGAAGCGGCACCTCGCGGCCGCGGCGGTGAAGATCGGGGTCCTGCTGCTGGCGGCGGCGGCGCTCGTGGGCTCGGTCGCGTGGGCGGGGACGCTCTACGCGGGGCGCGGCGCGGCGGCGCGCGCGGCCGCCGCCGCCGCGCACCGCGGGTACCGCCGGCTGCAGGAGCAGCTGGTCACGGACCTGCTCGACATCGGCGAGCTCGCGGGCGGCGGCGTCCGCGCCAAGGAGGCGGAGGTGTGCCCGCCCGAGTACGAGAACTACGTGCCCTGCTACTACAACGTCACGGACGCCGTCGACGTCTCGGATCTGGGGGCCGGCGTCGTCATAAGCTACGACCGCCAGTGCACGCGCGACGGCAGGGTCACCTGCCTCGTCGCGCCACCAAGGAGCTACCGGATTCCAGTGCGATGGCCCAGCGGCAAGGGCTTCATCTGGAAGGACAACGTGCGGATTAGCGGGCAGGAGTTCTCGTCCGGGAGCCTGTTCAAGAGGTGTGTGAACAAAATTTGCTCCGTCGCTAAATTTCGAGGTGGTGGGTTTGGTCTACTGGGTGTGAATTTGGTGGTTGCTCATTGATAACAGGATGATGGTGGAGGAGGACCAGATCTCGTTCCCGTCGGACGCCCACATGGCCGACGGTGTGGAGGATTATGCCCATCAAATTGCGGAGATGATTGGGTTGCGGAATGAATTCAATTTCAATGAGGCTGGGGTGAGTTATTGCCATCTGTTCAGTTTAATCTATGCTATTACTAGTAATTACCTATTTGACTTTCAAATTTAGTGAAGGCATACCCAGAACTAGCAGAAGTATAGAACTGAACCAGTGACATCTCTGTCAACGAGGTGTCATTCTTTGGTAGAAAATCTAATTCTTAAAAGAGTCACCCACTCTTGCTAGTGCTCTTCGTCAACACCCTATGAATTTACTGCCTTCTGCCAAGATTTTCCGTCCACTTTGATTTTTTTCAGGATTCAGGACACCTGTACTTTATAGTGGTTCATTAAGTAAGCCTTGTGATTTCTGTTGAGCATTTCCTTTGGACTTGATACTTTTCCAAGTATTTAAAATTTCTACTTCACTATTTGCAATAGAACCATGGTGCAATTTTAAGCAGATAATGGTTGTTCAGTTATTCTGGGAAAAAATATTCTATTTATTTGGGAAACAGTATTTCATTCATAAGTTGTTTCTCTGTCTGATTTATCAGTTTAAGATGGTCCTTTTATATCATGATTTGTTATTCAGCAAACACTTGTCTATCGTAGTCTTTCCACTTGGCAGTACTTTAGAAATCTTGCATGTTGAGTGGGCTGGCTGGAAAGTGCGGGTCTATTTCTACTTAATTTGACTTGGGAAACTCTACATGCCCAATGTGCTGGAAAGTGTATATCAGAGCTTACCACTGTACTTGCAAAAGTATGTTGGCAGCAGGACCTTAGGATCTCCACTATGATCCATTATTTAAAACATAGTTTTTTTTAAAGATCATCATACAAAACATATTTAGACATACTATGTAGATCACTTTATGCTCTGATTGGCTAGGATAATTGTTATGTTTACAGAAACTCTTCTTGCTGATGGTGTTTCTTGCTATGCCATTTTCAGGTTAGGACAGTCCTTGATATAGAATGTGGATTTGGTACATTTGGGGCACATCTTTTTGAGAGAGATCTCTTGACCATGTGCATTGCTAACTATGAAGCATCAGGCAGCCAAGTGCAAATTACACTGGAGAGAGGCATTCCTGCAATGATTGGTTCATTTGCAACGAAGCAGCTTCCATATCCCTATCTTTCCTTTGATATGGTGCATTGTGCGAAATGCAATATCGAATGGTACAAAAACGGTATGTGTTAAAGTCTTCTTCTATCACATGTCCTGGCTTTCATTGACTACTATAGTGTTATTCAGCAATATCTTAAGTTAGCACTTCACATGTAAAGAACGGTATAAATGTCTAGCTGAATATTAAATATTTAAGGATATACAGTTGTGGGTAACTTTTGGTTGACCTGTAACCCTTGCCACTGCAAACTTCGCATACATCTGATTTCTGTAAAGAAGCATCTATGGTAATTTGGTACTTTAGGATGGCTATAAAGTAGCATCTCTTACAGTCTTACTAAATATGTAACATCGGTTTTCTCTGTAATTCTGCAGATGGCATTTTCTTGGTTGAAGTGAACAGGCTTTTGAGGCCTGATGGATATTTTGTATGGACATCAAATTTGAATACACATAGGGCCTTGCGTGACAAAGAAAACCAAAAGAAATGGACAGCCATTCGTGACTTCGCTGAGGGCCTTTGTTGGGAGATGCTGTCACAACAAGATGAGACAATTGTATGGAAAAAGACAAATAAAAGGGAGTGTTACAATTCAAGGTACTGTACTGCTTACTAACACCTACAAGCTCTATAATAACAAATGTTTAGACTAGTGGTGAACTTACAGAGTCGTTTTACAGAAAATCTGGGCCTGAGCTATGTGGCCATGATCCAGAATCACCATACTACCAACCACTAAGCCCCTGCATATCAGGCACAAGAAGCCAGCGTTGGATCCCCATTGAACATCGTTCCACCTGGCCATCTCAGTCTAGACAAAACTCAACAGAACTGGACATACATGGTAAGTATTTGACTACATAATGCAATTTGAAAAACAAGCAAACAAATCAACGAAATTAAAAATATGTTAATGTCTTAATGTTCAAATGCTTGTCTAATCTTGCATTAAGGACCTTCTAATTTTACAGGTGTGCATTCAGAAGTCTTTGCTGATGATACTTCAAGCTGGGACTCCATGGTGCGAAACTACTGGTCTTTGCTATCTCCACTTATATTTTCAGACCATCCAAAGAGACCTGGTGATGAAGACCCCCAGCCACCATTTAACATGCTAAGGAATGTTTTAGATATGAATGCTCACTTTGGTGGATTTAATGCTGCTTTACTGAAGGCTGGAAAGTCTGTATGGGTGATGAATGTTGTTCCTACAAATGCCCCAAACTATCTACCACTAATATTTGACCGTGGTTTTATTGGGGTTCAACATGATTGGTAAGCAGTAGTCCATGATCTTCTTCTTCTGTTGATTTGAATTTGTCACGCCCCACACACACACACACACACCAATTTGTTTCAGGTGCATGCTCTGGCAATGCTAAATCTTGAACTACCTTTCTTGATAAAGTTTTCCAAATTAAACTTCATATGCATAGACAGTCATAACTCACAAATGTTAATACATGCAAATTTTAGGCATAAGGAAAGTTGTTGATGTAGAGGAATTATAGCATTCTCAATTTCACATAATTTTATTACAGTACATGGAGATTGATGCATGAGGTATCAATTTGATAGACAACTTTCGGCATATCGATATTTGGATCAACCTTCAGTTAAATGATGTATGGCTGGACATATGTTTAGGTGTGATGCATTTCCAACTTACCCAAGAACATATGATATGGTGCACGCTGATGGCTTTCTATCACTTGAGAAGAACCACAAGCATAGATGTTCTTCTCTTGACATATTCTTGGAAGTTGATCGCATCCTACGACCAGAGGTAAAGAAAATTTTGTTAATGACACTGATTTGGAATCCATTATTCAGTCGTGACTCGTGAATCATGTCTGTAATTCATTTAAAGGTTCTTGGATGCATGTGGAGCATAATGCATAACACTGCACTGTTTGGGTATTCGTGATTCTAATTTCTAAATGTTACAAACCGTAAAATGGTTCATATGGTACCATTCTAATTAGTGTTGTTTTTTAAGACAATTAGTGTTGTTTCTTGATTGCACCATATGGAAAGAGCCAGGGACATTAATAGAATTGGTACATATTAGCTTGGTTTAGTTTCTTCAAAACTTTGGCCCCTTGTATGGCCATATACTTTGGTAGAGCAATCTTTATGATCATGGTCTATGGGTAATGTAGACTCTACTAGTGCAGAGGTTTGTTTTGTCATTAGATTTTGCAATGGGAAAGAAAGATACCCTATGCTATACTTACATTTATCAACTGTACAAGTATAATGCACAATTGCCATTACCCGTGGTGAAGCACTGGATACTTCTACATGTGTGGAGCTCTACGCATCAGTCTTCAGTCATAAGATTATTTTATACAAGTGTTGTCTAATTTTTTTCTGCTTGTTTGATGTTGATGTAGGGCTGGGTCATAATCCGTGACACCGCCCCTCTTATTGAAGCGGCAAGATCTGTTGTTACTCAACTCAGATGGGATGCCCGTATTTTAGATCTTGACATAGCTAGTGATGAAAAGCTACTTGTCTGTCAGAAGCCCTTTATCAGAAAATAAGGAGCATACAGTAGACACTGACACAAGATATGGACTTATTCTTTCACCCTACACACTATTACAATTATTGTCTGTGTGTTATGGCAACTGAGTACAAAGCTTGGGTCAAAAACACGGGAAGCGTGATTCAGCTAACTTGTCATGCATCGCCATGGAACCGCAAGGTGCCATTAGATCGATCGGTCAAGTGCATGCTGCAGAGAACAGGCTTGGTGGCTAAGCTTTCCAGGCCAAGGTTTTATTTCCACGATACAGAGATGAAGCCATGAAAATTACTTTTAGTAGTGAAAACCATATCCAATAAAGGGATGCTGCTGCGGTGTACATAATCGCGGCCAATGTGCCATATAGGTATAATTCATTTTTCCCTTATTACATTTTTCTCTTTTTTTTGTAACTGTACCAATTTGTTTTTGTATCTTGTATGTAAATTGGTTGGTCTATATAATGGTCATCCCAGACTACAGCCTAGTGAAATCAATATATTTATTATTTGGAGATGAATGATAAGCAAGAGCAAATTATAACTATTCCACTATATCTTTCTACCATTTCTACAGTTCATAATTTTTGTACATTGTCAGGAACAAGAGTGATACCTTCATTATTCAAGAACAATACATGGTTACTATAAGAGGAATGTGTGAATATTTCTTTGTGGTAGTTATTATTACAATCTTGCAGGTAAGTTTTTGCTTTTGATGGCCATTTAGCGTTAGTCGGAGCTACTGCCTACTGAGGTGAGCTGATATTGCTCTGGTTTCAACCTCCCGTGCTTTTGTGGAGGACTGAGCGTCCAGTTCATCTTAGCTGCAGTTTGCTACTATCTGCCACATCCAAGTGGGCTGTCCGTGTGTCCCATTGTGACGGTGATGTGCCACCTTAATCCGAAGGAATTGGCTTGTCATTCTTCCTTGGCTCCGTCCATGTTTTCCTTATTTTTGCCTGCTTGTAAATATGTTTAACTCTGCAAATACTCTGGGCCAGCATGATACAAATTCACAAGAAAACTGTAACAGCGGGTTAGAGGCTTCGTTAGAGCACACTTCATGAGGCTGTAGTCAGATAACTGATTAAAAGAAAAGGCACGGAAGAACAATCCGTTTGGGAGAGCTCCATTTGATTTTGATTATATCAAAGAAGTGATTATATGGTTGTAAGTGATTCTCTTTGATTCTATATCATAAACTCTCAAAATTATGATGGAGAGTCACTTCACATAATTAGGACAAGCTGCTTTTTTCAGCTTCCAGACTCCAGTTCATTTCAGAGAACCGCTTAACAGAATCAGCAGATAATCACTTCTCTCTTAAAAAAAAAAAACTGTTTAATAGAGCTCCCTTGAGTGGTGGTGTCGCCGGTTGTCGATTGAGCCGTCGGATGGCCAAGGAACGGCGCTCGATGGACTTTTGATGGAATACTAATCTGATGCTTAACTGCCATGGGCAGGAAACCCTCCTCCCGAACCCTCGCCGCAATGGTAGGAAACCCTCCGCCGCTGCCGTGGCGAGCGACAACGAATCCCTCGCGGCCACCATGCCCGCCGATCTCCTGACCGCGGCGGAATCCACGGGCATGCCCTCTTCATCGACGCCCTCGTGCAGCTCATCCCGCCGAGCTTTTACCTCCCGTCCGGCGACGAGGACCGCCCGTGGTACCAGGGCCTCTCCAAGGTCGCCAAGGCGGCCATGAAGGCCCAATCCCGCGCCAACGTCAAGACCGCTCGCCGCGCACGCCTCGACCCCTCGGCGCCGCCCGCTTCCACCCTCGACCTCCTCAAGAATTCAGTCGCGGACCAGGCGGAGGTGGAAGAGGAGGACGATGATGAGGACAATTCGGTGACCTATGAGGAGTTGCACGAAAGGCTTAGACGCCACATTGTTGAGCTTCAAGGCAACCGATGCACCAAGAAGGAGAAGGGCAAGAAGTCAAAGGCGAAGAATGAAAAGATGGGTAAAGGTGAGGGCAAGAAGCGTAAGCGTGATGATGGCACCGAAGAGAACAGCAAGAATGGGAAGAAGGTCAAGAAGGAGGCCGAGGAGAAGCCGGATATCATGTATGCTAATGTGTTTGTTGACCCAAAGGAAGCAAGTCGCAGGAAGAAGAGAAGGGTTAAGAACAAGAAGGCGGCGCTGGAGCAGGCCAAACGGTTGCAGGAGGCGAAGAAGAATCCTGAGAAGGCAAGCAAGATTGCTTGGGATACCGCAAGAAGACGCGCTGCTGGGGAGAAGGTGCATGATGACCCTAAGCTGATTAAGAGCTGCTGGGGAGAAGGTGCATGATGACCCTAAGCTGATTAAGGAGAGCTTAAAGAAGGAGGAAAAGCGGCAGCAGGAGCATGCTGCACAGTGGAAGGAGAGGCAGAAGACTCTGGACAAACAGAGGAAGGAGAAGCAGAAGAAAAGGACAGAGAACATCCGGGATCGGGCACACCAGAAGAAGATGTGCAAGATTGAGAAGCGCGAGAAAAAAAACTTATGCGCCCTGGGTTTGAGGGGCGGAAGGATGGTTATGTCAATGAGTAACATCTGTGCCCAAGGTTGTCTGGAAGATGAGTTGCTATATCTTATTTCAGAGTTTCATTTGCTGGTATGGGTAGTTGGTGCTTGTAATAGGTTACAGATTCATGGCTGCTAAAGTGCCTTAATTATTGCCTGAACTGAAGTTTCAGTATTCAGCAGTTCTATGGATGATTTTTTGATTACTTATATATAGCTGTGCTCATGCCTTGCTAGTTCTTTCTGACATGAGATTGATGAACTGGCAATGCTGAATTGTGCTCATGCCCTAACAGTTCACGGTGGTCCCGGAGAGCAGCGGCCTCTCCAAGGCCCTTCCTAATCACCCTATTTGTTTTGTTCCCTTTCGGCCTATTGTTCTCCAATCTCCTGAACCGTCGTGGGTGCTCCCAATCTGGTGGGCAGGGACACTGCTCCTGCTCACAGTGAAGCAGATCATGGACGCAGCACTGGCCAGTGATGACAAGTCTAATCTCGCCATCAACGGCGTCGAGGTGTCCACGGTACAGATTTTGCTTCTTTCCGCGGTGCTTATAGGCTTCTAATATTCGTTCATGGACCATATATTGGAGTATATCATATCTGGGGGCCAAAGCAAGGCATTTTTGGAGGTGTGTGTGTGTGTGTGTGTGTGTGTGTGTGACTGGGGGTATGGCTGCGCAAGATTGTATTTTGGATGCTTGGATGAAAGATTGCTCATTGGCCTTCGACAGTGTAAGATGGGAATACTTGTTGGAAGTGATGCAAAGGCTGGGCTTTGGACAGAGGTGGCGTGATCTGATTTCAGTAATTTGGGCTTCAACTACTTCTAGAATTCTACTGAATGGCCAGCCTGGTAAACCAATCAGCACCGGCGAGGACTTAGACAAGGAGACCCGCTATCACCCATGCTCTTCATCCTAGCCATGGATCCCCTTCAGCAAGCTCTTAATAATGCGACAGAAAGAGGGTTATTGAACCCAATAGGAGGTGACCCAATTCGCCTGAGAACAAGTCTGTATGCGGATGACGCGGCACTCTTCATCCGACCCATAGCCCAGGATCTGGACAACCTTCAGCAAATTCTGCACACTTTCGGAGAGGTGACAGGGCTGAGGACAAACGTTGCCAAATCTGAGATTTATGGTATCAATTGTGAGGTCCGGTACCCAGCTTGCTGATTCCTTCAGAGGAAAAATAGGATAGTTCCCCTGCAAATACCTTGGTCTCCCGTTGCACATTGGAAGAATGAAGCGAGAGGCGGAACAGATCCTCATTGACAAAGGCCTTGTTTAGTTGGCGATTTTTTTTTGGGAAATAGTACTGTAGCATTTTCGTTGTTATTTAAAAATTAGTGTTCAATCATAGTTTAATTAGGCTTAAAAGATTCGTCTCGTGAATTTCGTCTAAACTATGTAATTAGTTTTATTTTTTATTTATATTTAATGCTTCATGCATGCGTCTCAAAGATTCGATGTGACGGAGAATCTTGAAAAATTTTGCAAAATTTTGAGAACTAAACAGGCACAAAATTGGAACAAAACTCGCTGGATGGAAAGGAAGACTGCTGACAAAAAGTGGCCGGCTGGCGCTGGTCCAGTCAGTTCTCTCCTCAATTCCGACATACCACATGTCAGTTTTCACTCTTTCCAAATGGGCAATCAAAAAAATTGACAGAATCAGACGCAACTTCCTATGGAAAGGGTCCGATGACGCGAGAACGGGACATTGTCTGGTTAATTGGCGGAGAGTGACACGACCAAAAACACTTGGTGGATTGGGAATCAAAGACCTTGGCGCTTTCAACCGGGCACTGAGGCTGCGATGGATCTGGCACCGTTGGGCAACGCCATCCAAACCTTGGACTGCCTTACAGATTGCAATGACTGGCATGGAAGAAGCACTGTTCAGAGTATGCACCACCATAAAATTGGGCAATGGGAACAAAGTGAAGTTCTGGAAAGACAATTGGCTCAATGGGTAAGCCCCAAAAGACATTGCGCCAGACTGTCATAAATTGGCTTGGCGGAAGAATCAGAATGTGGCAACAGCGCTGCAGAGGAAACGATGGATGCGGGGTTTACAACGAATGACCACAGACCAAGAACTACACCAATTTGTTGAATTATGGAGTCAATTGCAAGGAATTGAGCTGCAACAGCAGGAAGACGAGGTGGCCTGGAAGCAGACATCGGGCCAGTACTCTGCAAAATTGGCATACAACATCCAGTTCACCGGGGCATTCTCAGAAATGGACTGGAACAACATCTGGAAGATCAAGGCCGAACCCAAGTGCCGGTTCTTCATTTGGCTCTTGCTCCAACGGAGATTACCAACGGCGGACCGAATTATCAAACGAGGAGGCCAAGCTGACCCGATTTGCAAACTTTGCTTTGTGAGGCAGGAATCTCACACACACATGATGGCTAATTGCTCATATGCCAAGTCGGTTTGGCAACAAGTAGAGTTCTGGTCCGGTGAACAGCAGCTCAAACAACATCTGCCCATATCAAAGCTCATTGAATGGTGGACGAAGCTGAATACAGGAGTAGACACAGTGGCAACCCTCAAAATCTGCGAGCAACAATCATTGTGTACACTGCATGGAACCTATGGAAGGAAAGATGTAGAAGGGTGTTTGACAACAAGGCACTAAATGCGCAAGACCTGGTGGCTGTCATCAAAGCTGATGTACTGGAACACCAGCAAGCCTGGGGAGAACTGGAGGAGCATTGATCTCTTCATCTCATTCAAAGAGGAAATTTAGGCTGCTGTACATATTTGTTTTTCTTTTCTTCTAGCTTCTTTGGTTTCTCCTTCACCCTGTTGTACCCATAACTCTGTACTCTTATTTCTCCTACTATAATGCAAAGGCAGAGCACCTGCCATTTATCCTCAAAAAAAAAAAAGAGTGCTCATTAGTGGATACATTGAGAAAGAAAAAAAAATCTCTTTTATCTGATATTGTTATGTTCAAATTTAGCCTCTGGGACATAGCCACATAGGTATGGTTGGTTCAAATGAAATGCTTCCCTTTTATGCTATTTATTTCCAATGCTTTTAATTGTCTTTTGTTTTTATTACTATAGTGTCTGTCCTTTGTTCATTTTCTGTGAAATCTAATTCATCTGGTTTCAGACGGTTTTGTATTGAGCATATAGTTTGTATATCAAAGTCATTTTAACTGTTATGTTTACTCTGAATTGCTGGTTAGGCTTGTTGGACGCATGTTGATTAAGGTTGAGCGCATCAGAGATGTTGCGTTCAGTCTTGATGATGGTACTGGCAAGATAGATGTGAATCGTTGGTAGGATGCTTCATATTGTCTTTGATGTTTAACGATTTTTTTGGATTGTTCCGTTAATTTACTGCCATTCTTTTTTTTGAAGGGAAAATGCGTCTTCTGACGCTAAAGAAATGGCTGATGTCAAGTAAGAATTACAGATTAACTGTCACATGTCAATTGATAGTGTTGCTTTGTTTTGGTTTTACAAGTAACGGGAACTATGTCATAGCCAATGGCGTTTTGAGAGATTTCAAGGAAAGCGTCATGTATTTTCAAGGAAAACGCCATGTAGTTGCTTACTGAGTTACTGCCTTACTCTGTGCGGTGAGCTCTACCTGCTATATAAATGAAACTGAGATGGTACAAACTAAAATATTAGCATTAAATTGTCTGACCTCTTTTATTGAGGAAACCAGTGGTCCTAATACTCTAAGTCAAAATGAGTCATATATTCTTTATCATGAATTACTATTCTGATGAATCTTGTCTTTATAATTTATCACGAACTACGATCCTTGTTACCTTCACAGGGCGGACATCCAAGAACATGTTGACGCGGGCAACATTTACAACATGATTGATGACTTCCATTTCAAGTCTGGCCTGAATGGATGGTCATGTTGCAAGTCCAGCCTTCAGGCTCCTTGTAGGTATGGATCCGTTTCAAGCAAGAAATTTAAACCCTCTGCAGGATCGCCTCGTTTATCTTGCACATAGTCATCAGGGTGTCAACAGCTTAAAATCTAGGTTAAGTTGTGTATCTAAGTACCGCTCTCGTGTGCAGTTATATGTAAAATGGACACGTGATGTGAGTAGGCTAGCTGGCTAGGTATACCTTCAGGACATCGGTGGTGTTTGACCGTTTGCTACTCAAGATATTTTGTAGTGTGAATGTTTTCCTGCCCATCGAATATCAAAGTCTCACCTATCCATTCCTTCAAATGTTTAGTGTGAAGGTTTTCCTGCCCATGGAGTATCAAAGTCTCACCTATCCATTTCTTCAAATGTTTTGTAGCGTGAAAGTTTCCCGCTCCAAAGAGGCCCATTCCTTCAAATGTTTTGTAGCGTGAATGTTTCACACTCCAAAGAGGCGTAAAAATGTGGAAATCTTTCGGTCCAAGCGCTCGGTGCCAGCCACTACTAACGCGCGGGGCCACAAAGTCTTCGAGCGAGCCCATTAGCCTTCATCTCTTGCGGCTTTAGATGGGGCTCGACGGCCCGGCGTTGGGGACAAGAGAGACAGCGGCAAGGCGGCGGCGGCGGCGGGTGAGGTTTGGGCGGGGGAAACCATGGCCATGGCGGCAGCAGGGGGAGGGGAAGAAGGAGGGCCGCGGGGTGCGGTAGGGTCTGACCGAAGCTCCGTGGCCGCGGAGCTTCGGCGAGACCATACCATGCCCGAAGCGGGACGGTGGGGGCTAGGCGGTGGCGGTGCGTGGCTAAAAAAAGTTGCCGGCGGATTGCTATGGCACTCGGTATATAACACCCCGTAAAAACGTGAAATGAACCTAATGATGAATTGAATCTAACTAAAAAAGACGGGCATCAGAGTAATATTAAAGCTTTTCCTCTTGACATGAAGACTACACTGACAAGTTTTGTCACTTAACAACAAAGCCCCTTCCCTGCTAAACCCTCTGTTCCAAATTATAAGTGTTTTTGACATTTTTGTATCTAGATATATATATATCTACGTGTTAATCTGATTTAAAATGAATGGCGTACTACAAAGCAGTCACCTAGGGATTACATTTTGCACCAATAACTACAATCTGCAGACACAGACATAGGCGGAGACAGGGGGCTAACTTTGCACAACCTTCATTAGTAAATATCATTAGTCCTCACTAACTACTAGAAATTCTAAATAAACAAATCTTCTCAATCAATTGTAGACAAATACATCTCTTGATTGTCTAATGTTTATCCCTTGATTGCCTAATGTTAACTGTCTAAATAAAAAAAGATGTGAGTCTTTTTTATCTTTAATTAGACATTTAGCATTTGTCTAAGATGGCAAGATTCAAAAATACAACACCAATATCTAAAAGTGGTATCATATATATATAAATCGATACTCGGTGAGATAGCCCGTGTATCTAAATTTTTTCCATACAGACGAGGGCGTGTCTACTTGCCGCTGCTCTCTGTAAAATCACGACAACCCGAGGAAGCTGTCCAGATGCCGTCTCTGCAGATCAGCCGGCCCCCGAGTACCCGACGCGACCGTTTTGGCCTTTTCACTAGAAACGGTAATAGCTGGTTGGAGGCTTCGTCAGAGCACCTTCATGAATCATGAGGTCCTCAGCCATAACAGCACACGGACTTGTAAAGCATTTTTTTTCCTGTCAGTTGGCTGCAGTTGATACTAGTGCTATGATAAAGACATCGTTTTCTAGTGTTATATCCACAATGCGCGTTTGGTTGCGAAATCATAATTCCGCTATTGGCCAGCTGGGATAAATCGCAGGAGCAATTGTAGCGACAATGACATGGCATCTGAGCCCAAAAATGATTGCCCCCATTCATTCCTCTCCCCGTGGATCCGTGCCTCCGATAGGTTCCATTTTACAGCTAGACACCAGAGATTGACCGATTTATCAAACCGAACACAGCCGCGAAGCTTGGCTGGCTGCCGGCGATGGCCGAGGAGGTGGGCTGCCGGCGACGGTCACGGCAGACGAGCCTTTCCCTCTCCTCACGTCCTGTCTCCGTCTCATCTCTCTCGTTCTTTTTTTTCGACTTCTCATCTCTCTCGTTTGTGCTCTCCGTGAAACAAGTGATAGAAGAAAGGAAGGGCTTTCGTACTCTCGTCAACGAGGAAGAAACGAAGGGATAAGAACAGAGGTAAATCAAGAACTAAAGAATTGGAAGAATAAAAAAATAATTAAAATTGGTAATAAATCAGTAAAAGGACATTCTAGTGGTCGTGTTCGGTTTGATAATAACAAAATAGCGAATGGCTTGTGTTGGATAACAAAACGGCGAATCCCACCTTTCTTAGTGGCAAAATCACCATTTTCTCGCCTCACACACACCGAACCCACCCCCGCACCCGCCGTCGCGCCCGCCGCCCGAGTCGCCGTGGCCGCCGCGGCAGCGCCCTCCCGGCGGTGAGCGCAGACCTGCGAACCGCGGCCACCGCCGCGCCTCGAGGTGCCCAGATCTAGGGCCGAGCGGCCCCCCTCTTCTAGGCCTTTACCCGCTGCGGCCCCATGGCGCGGCGGCTGCCGTGTTGGACAGCGCTGCTCCTCCCCTTTCTCCTGGCCGGCGTTGGTACCTCCGCCTCCGCCGCCACCAACGCCGCCGCATCCCCGCCCCACGATGCGTGCCCGGTGCCTACTATCGTGGAATCCGTCCTTGGGACTCCCGACACGTGCTCGTCGCTGGATCGCCGCCTTGGCGAGCCGGTCGGCGTCATCGAGGTGAGATATTTTCAGCGTTGTGATAAAATAGCAAAAAAAAATGTATGTATGCGAATTTGTTCGTTTCATTACCATACTGAGAGGTACCATATAATTGTGTTGGAGTGAAAACTAGCAAATAATTTGTGATGCGAATTGTTTAGCATGAAAAGTTGGGGTTGGGGTTGCGAAGTAACTAGTAGTACGAGTATTATGTTCTTGGTGGTTCTCAGGTTATGCGTAAATAATTGCTTCTGTTCATTGGTTTAGACTTTTAGCAGCTATAGCTTATGTTATGTCAAAGCAAATAAAAAAAAACTATTCCTATATATTTTCGATTTTCTCCCACCTGAGCTGCTGAGCATAAGGATTTTCCACCAGTTGTAGTTGTAAAATTTGAATCTGACTTATTTTTATCCTTTCAGGGAGATGAGGTCACGTTGGCAAGGGCAGTTAATCTTCTTCATGCAAACAAGGATGACTATATTGCTGTACTTTTCTATGCCTCGTGGTGCCCATTCTCACAAGAATGCAAACCAAATTTTGAGACACTGGCTTCCTTATTCCCAACTATTCGACATTTTGCATTTGAGGAATCTGCAATTAGGCCAAGGTTTGTCCTCGTATGGTGTAAAGAAAAATTATTTCTTATTGCAACACATCTATTTTTGGTGGAATACTAATCTGATGCTGGAACTGCAGCATAATTTCGAGATACGGCATTCATGGTTTCCCAACACTCTTTCTCTTGAATTCAACCATGAGAGTACGGTATCATGGACTAAGGACTGTTAAATCACTTGCAGCTTTCTACACTGATGTCTCAGGTGTGTTACTTTTTCCTTATTGAACGACACTTGTTCTCTTTTATTGGGATGGTTTTAGACTTTTAGTAGCATGATTGTTATAAGTCATATTTGTTGCTTTGCACGTTCAACAACTAATCCATGTAGGATTGTGAGCTTGGCTTTTCCCAGCTTGCTTGGGGTTTCTCTTTTCCTGAAATTTTAACCTTGTTCTTGGTGCTTACTATGCTTAAGTCATTTACAAATGGTAAATTTATGTGATGAAGGTATCAATGCTTCCGTGAAGTCAACTGCAGGGGAGGCCATGGTACATCCCTTGGATGATATTGAGCATAAAAAGGACGCCGAACATGAAAATTGCCCATTCTGGTGGGCTCGGTCACCAGAGAAAATACTTCAGCAGGATACTTATCTAGCATTGGCGACCGCATTTGTTATTTTGAGGTTGCTGTATCGTATTTTTCCAAAGATAGATTCCTTTGCTAGATGGGCATGGAGGAGGCATAATCTGTTTGCAAACTTGATGGGGGCACATGAATATTTCCTCACCTACCTTGAGCAAGCAAGACAGAAGTTTCATAGGCTATACCCTTCAAGTTCAAAGCGAGGAAATTTGCAGGAGGGGGCAATGAACGCAACTGCTTGGGCTTCCAAATCATTAGCATCTGTTTCGATTGGAGAACCAAGTGCGATTGGAAGGACAAACTCTACAAGTGAGCTAAGATGAAGTGTAACGTTTTTTGTCCGCAGGGATATATGTACAGTACAGTAGATCAATCAGGATATGAACACCCAGAATCTGTTGTAATGGCTGTATTACTCTTCGTATCCTCCTCCTTAGAATAAATACATCCATGATTTCACGCCTTATTTTCAGTTGTTGTTACAGCCCAATTCTTTGGAGGAATAAAGTTTCTGGTGTATTGAGCAGTGTCTTGTGTTCTGAAATCTGTACCTGTATGTTTCTGCGTTTTGGGGCCTTGGGGGCATCACAACAGGAGTTGTCACTTTCTATTGTCACGCCCTCGTTGGTGTGGCATGGACTCAATTCAGGCCAATTGGCTTTGCTTTTGATAAGTGCCACTCACATCAGTGTGTCCACCTTCACATCATCGTCGTCTCATCTCCGGTCTCAGCCGGCAGGCACCCAAACTGAGATGGCGTCCGTCCGGCGGTTTGGCCCTTTCGCCGCCTCCTTCCTCGCCTAAGCCCAGCCGATGGACCCTAAGAATCCCATCTCGTCGGCAACGTGATCTATACCCCCCACCTACGTGACCTGCTACAACGACACCCATGGGCAGCAAGGGTCGGAGCCCAGGTGCAACGTCCTCGCGCTCCAGTGCCCTCGCGGCTGCCGGGACACCTGCTACGTCCACTGCCCGTCCTGCAAGCTCGTCTGCTGTAAGCGTCCACACATACATACTCTACGCGTTCGCTCTATCCCGCTCAAAGATTTTGATCAGTTTGTTTTTTGAGCAGTGTGTGAGCTGACCGGAGAGTGCTAGAGACCCGCGCTTCGTGGGCGGCGACGGCAACAAGTTCCTGTTCCACGGCCACCGGGACGTCGACTTCTGCCTGCTGTCGGACGCCAACTTGCACATCAACGCGCACTTCATCGGCAAGCGCAACAACGCGGGCGTGGCGCGTGACTTCACCTGGGTGCAGGCGCTGGGCATCCGCTTCGGCGGGCACCGGTTGTACCTCGGCGTCCGGAGGACGGCCACCTGGGACGACGCCGTGGACCGCCTGGCCATCACCTTCGACGGCGCGCCCGTCCTGCTGGACGCCGTGGCCGGCGCCAGCTGGAGCCCCACGTCGGCGGCGCCCGCGCTGTCCATCTTCCGCACGGGCCCCGCCAACGGCGTGGTGGTGCGGCTGGACGGGTGTTCCGGATCGTGGCCAACGCCGTGCCGGTCACCGAGGAGGACTCGAGGGTCCAAAAAGGAGGACGGCAGCCTCGCGCACCTCAACGTGGCGTTCAAGTTCTACGCGCTCAGCGCCGATACGGCGTGCTGGGCCAGACCTACCGCCCGGACTACGTCAGCGCCGCCGGGGTGGACGCCGGCGCTAGGGGTCCCCGTCATGGGCGGCGCCCGCAGGTACCAGGTGTCCGGCGGCATCTTCGCCACGGACTGCGAGGTCGGGCGGTTCGCTGGCGACGACGACGGGCCCGCCGTGGGCATCATCGAGGAGCCCACCGACGCGCCCTGCGGCAGCGGCGATGTCACCACTGGCCTGGTGTGCAAGAAGTGACAGGCCGCTGGTGTAGTGTTTTTGCTTCATTCACGTGTCTAATTGCGTGCGTACGTGCTGAATATATATAGCTGCTGCAGCTGCGAAGTAGTAGTAGTTCTGTTGGCGACCGAATAAAAGACTCTGACGTGTCTCGTGGTAGTCGTGTGGACAACACTCGGAAATAATGCCGTGTTGCTCTGATTTGTTGCCACCATAGCTGAGCTTGTGACTGACTGTCAAGCAGAGAGAGGGCTAGTGGCAACTCCTTGACCTTTTGGCGTTATATATAGGAGAAGAAGGGCAGGCTTTTGGCCGTCCACGTCCTTTGGCGTAACAATGGCGTCTCTGGGCGTAAAGCCAATTGGCTAGGCAATAGCGCGGGAAAAGCGAAAAAGTTCAGACGCCCATACAAGCCCAAGGGCAACTGAGTCATTCTCCAGAGCCGTTACCCACCGTTAGGAGCAAATGCCGATGGAATGGCGTGAGGGAAAAGAAAAGTTTGAGCGAGGACATGTAGGTGACGACCAACTTTTGAGGGGTACACAGAAGTGTGACATCTTTTTTAAAGGTACACAGGTAAAAGCCTCTCGTTGGTGTGGCATGGAAATTAGCAATTCAGTGTTGCCCCTGGACATATACTTAGCTAGTGATGTCATTCTTTTTTTTTGGCTTCAGCTAATCAGCTCCATGAGCAATTCTATTGGTTAAGTTGAAGCTGTTTTAGGCCCCGTTTGGCACAGCTCAGCTTTACTAGTAAAGCTGTTTTTTTGAAAAACAGCTTCATGAGCAACTTTCTAGGTGAAGCTAAGTTATTCTTGAAAAACTGTTCGGCAAAACAGCTTCATGTATGGATGAGAGAGAGAAATAAGGGAGAGAGCTAGGATAAGTTACTTTTTTAGCTTCATTCCAACTCATGGCTCTGTGGGAGGAGGAGAAAAACAGCTTCACCCATGAAGCTATTTTGGAAATGAGTGTTTCACAGGAAAAAAAAAACAGCTTATGAAGGTGTTATATATGAGCTGTGCCAAATAGGCCCCAATCATTGAGGAAAACAGCTCTACATGTTCTAAGGAGCTTCTTATAATCAGCTCCACAAAGCAATTCTATTGATGAAGTTGAAGCTGTTTTAATGAATCATTTAGGAAAACAGCTCTATTTGTTCTAAGGAGCTTCTTAGATAGCGCTGTTTCTTTTTTACCCGTCTGGCGTCGTATGTAGTTCAGGAGCAAATAAAGTACAGATTGCACTAGGTCTGATGTCAATGAGAACTCCCGTTTTGCTAATTGCTATACTGCATAGGTACAAATTCAGATACTACAATATATTACATATTTACATGGAGTATCGTACAAGATTTGCATTCTTCAATGAGAACTCCCGTTTTGCTAATTGCTATACTGCATAGGTACAAATTCAGATACTACAATATTACTGTACATATTTACATGGAGTATCGTACAAGATTTGCATTCTTCAGTTAAAGCGTTACGCGAGCATCCTGCGCGACTCGGCGTACCATCGTGTGTAGCAGCTCTCGAGGTTGGGCCAGTCGGTGTCGGGGCAGGCGGCGAAGTGGTGCAGCCAGAGCGAGAGGACCTCCTCCCGCTGCTCCCAGCTAAGCTTGTCGATCAGGTCCTCCAGCACGGCCACCATCTCCGGCCGCTCCCGGCACGTCAGCACCGGTGCGTCCGTGCCATTGCTGCCGCGGCACAGCAGCGGCAGCCACGACCGCAGCATCGCCATCCGCTGCTCGGCGACCGCGGCCTTGTCATCCTTCCCTCCTGCGCTCTGCTCGAATTCCCTCGAGTTGGCGTGCTTGAACAAGAACACTGCGCATGAATTAATGGAGTAAGCGATTGCCCAATTCCTGTCTTCTTCGGTGCTTCATAATGCAGGCACAGCAAAAACGTGCCAGGTTAATGGATGGTACTGTACGTATCATGGTGACACCTAGGTCGACCACGAAGAGTGAAAGAGCAGCACTAGCTAGGGACAGCTCAACCATGTATCCTCGTTCCTCCCCATGTTTGCAGCCCTTGCGACCACGGAAACGTCATCTCCTCCTCGCCCCTCGTCCGCCACACCATGGGCATCGCATTTTCTCCCGCCACAAACGACATGCGTGAAGAGTTTTTGACGCGTACTGGCAAATTTTCTCCACACCCTCGTGAAACGGTCACGAATTCACGAGGTTTTTGACGAATTCAGCACTACTGTGTTTTCTATGCGGTCTTGGCAAGGTTTGGATCAGAGAAAGTTCCGCAGCGCTCGGCAAAAAAAATGAAGAGTTTTTGACGTACCGGCAAGGCGAAGCAGCGAGACCTGGAGCTCGGGCTCGGCAACGAGCGCGCGGCTCCCGAGCCTCTCCGCGGCGCTGAACTGCACGACGGCCTCGCGCGCCGCGCCGCACTCCGCCATCTTCTGCCCGAGCCACAGCAGCTCGGCAGCCAGCTTCTCCGCCGCGGGCCCGCCGAACCCCTCGTCGTCCAGCGAGGACGCCGCGGTGGGCCTCCACCACCGCATCCCCGTCCGCACCGCGCGCACGGCCAGCTCCATCCCGGGCCACTCCCCTCCTCCCGCGGCGGACTCCAGCTGCCGCAGCGTGCGCGCGAACGCGCCCGCGAGCGCGGCCCGGTTCACGGCGCCGATGCAGGCGCCCCCCGCGCGCACGTTGTCGTCCAGCAGCCGCTCCGCGAGGCCGCGCACCAGCTCGTACTTGCGGGAGGCCACGGGGAGCCTGGACGCCACGGAAAGCACGTGCGCGAGCGCGCGCCCCACGCAGGTATCTCCCGCAGGGCACCCTGGCTCCATGCGCGGCAGCGTGGGCGCGAGCTCTGGCGGCGACGGCGCCGGCGGTGCGGGCGCGAGCGCGGAGAGGAGCATGAAGAAGAGGGAGATGAAGGGCTGCGTGGCGAGAAGGAGGAGGCGGCGGAGCACGGTGAGCGCGCGCGCCGCCGCGACGGGGAGCGGCAGGAGCAGGAACTTGGAGCCCTGCTGCTGCGACGACGACGACAGCAGCGGCGAGAAGGCCGAGACGAAGCTCGACGCGAGGGACGCCAGCGGGTCCATCGGCGTGCGGAGATGCTGCATGCGCTGCCGCGTCTCCATTGCTGCGGGAGCGGGGAAGAGAGAGAGCTAGTCCGTGTCCGTGGAGGAAAGCAAGAGAAGTGCAGCTATGCAAGGCGCCAAGTGTTGCCGCGGCGCAAGAAACGTTCGCGCACGGAGGAAGGAGCCAAGGAGGCGACAAACTGGCGGACCGTGTCGGCGACGTGTATTGTTGGGATGTGTTCGTAGAATTTAGTGGTGTTCCCATCCTTTTTTTTTTTGAACGGTGTTCCCATCCTGTTAGGCTGTTAATCTGTGGTCGCGTAGGCTGTTTCCCATCCTGTTAGGCTGTTAATCTGTGTTTATGTAGGCTGTTAACCTGTGGTCATGTTTTACGTAGTTGCTTTCACGTGGGGGAGCATTGGCATTGGTTTCGCTGGATAGATATTTCTGCCCGAATGGCGAATACATGAAGCCGACAGAATAGACAGGTACAAACTTCTTTTTATTTAGCTGGTCAACTTTTCAACATATTTGTCACAGCCTCATAGTTAGGAAACTGAACGTGAATTCAATGGGGGCAAAGAACTTTGCACTAGTGTTACAGATCTCCAACGGCAAGCACTGGTGACTGATGGCACCGGCCAAGCAGGAGCAAAGGATCAGCGCCCCGAAAACTAGACACTGCACTGCACAATCATGCACTCCATCAGTGCCAAGCGCTCACAATTCACAAGTGTGTTCTCGACCTTCAGGTCTACAGTGTATATAATACAAGATTGACGCTTTCCATACTGGACGGCGCCGGGAAGATCTCACAGTACAAATTAGTCGAATTCTCGTCGCAAGAAGCTGCCAGGCCTATAAATAACTCGATGTGACACGCCCTCTGCTGTCGGATTATATCAAAATCCCCTCACAATCGTCGTGAGATACAAATTTCGAATGACCCCAAAGGGAGAAGAGTTTAATGACTCTTGGATAGTTTATCCGGAAAATGGCACGGACACTTTTTCCTTTTACAAGCAGCCGATCAAAATTGCCTTCAACCAGGCGAGTCTTCCAAAAATTTACAAGTCGGAGGTGGTCCTGCTCCCCATTTCACTTCAGGAGTTTCTGCAGCCTCCTCTCCGCTGCAAGGGCTGTTTTGTTCTGTGGTTCCAAAGCCAAAGCATGCCTGAAATCTGCAAGTGCAACAGATTATGCAAGGAGCAAATGAGGCAGGCTCTTTTCATAAGGTTATGTGCATAGTGCATTTTAGTAGACAGTATAACACTGTGATAGTATGGCTTCAAGCAATGCAGGAACTAGTTTGATTCTAACAGCTCATTCATAATAGAATCACAAAACTCTTAATAACAATAAAATAATATAAATCAATTAAGACCCATCCTCCAAGAGTGACGAGAAAGAAATTACAGCACACAAAATTCTAAAAAAAAGTATGCACGTTCAACCAAAAACATCTGCTGGGTGCAACTTGCTGACAATCAGCATAATAAAATGTCTCATTCATAATAGAATCACAAAACTCTTCATAACAATAAAATAATATAAATCAATTAAGACCCATCCTCCAAGAGTGACGAGAAAGAAAGTACAGCACACAAAATTCTAAAAAAAAGTATGCACGTTCAACCAAAAACATCTGCTGGGTGCAACTTGCTGACAATCAGCATAATAAAATGTCAACATTCATAATAGAATCACAAAAAGCTTCTAACAATTAAATAATATAAATCAATTAAGACCCATCCTCCAAGAGTGACGAGAAAGAAAGTACAGCACACAAAATTCTAAAAATAATGCTTGCATCAACCAAAAACATCTATGGTGCAACTTTCTGACAATCAACAAATGAAATTCAACTTTAAGTGTTTTTGATGTTGCCATAATTAATGCAATGACAGAATCAAAACTATCCCATATATCAGGTGCAAACTGAAGTGCTTCTTTGTAATTCAAAGTTACTTGCGGATCCAATGGATGGGATGAGGGGCTTAACGCCAAAAAAATGCTTTAACATTCTGAAGCAACAAATGAAAATCACTCTCACCCCATCCATTGGATCAGCATTTGATGTTGCCATTTGCATAACATTGGTTGGTATCAGAATCATCCAGAACTATCCAATAAACCTTAAGAAACTCCTCTCTTAGGGTCGACAATGCTACAGAAATGCCACCCATAACAGCATGGGAATATTGCATCTACAAAAATCTCTTACCTTTCTATCCAACAGTAAGGCCCGATCACAATCTGCTTCGGCCTGCTTAAAACTACATAAGATAAAATATGCCAGATTTAGTGTACTAACTTCAGAAAAACTTTGAGCAGAAAAATATGGCTGGTATAAAGTATACCGGCCCAGTTCCAGATAAGCTGCTGCTCTGTTGCAGTAATATGTTGCATTTGTGTCACTCAAACTGATGGCCTCTGAGTAAAACTCAATTGCCTTGCTCCACTGTCTTCTTTTGAAAGCACTATTTCCCTGTCAAGGGAGCACAGACTGATTTAGTTTGAAATGAACAACATAAGCTGAAGAAATGAACTCGGTTGCTTTAAGTTGGTGGCAGCAAAAACTCGAATAACTTTCTTGTACCACAACCACTTCATAAGACAGTAACCATCCGCATGTTCATAATCTTGGTTCAGTATGTGTTCATACTTTTTATCTAGTAAATTTAATGCTGAGAACAAAGATCAAGTGGCTGCTTGGTTCTGGGCATAGCTCGCCTCGCCTCGCTGCATCGCCACAAGCAACGAAGAGCTCGTTCGGCCGGGCGAGCCGATTTGGCTCTCCCACGGGAGCAAGCCAAATCTTGCTCGCACGGTCTTCAAAGCATCCAGGCAAAAGAACCATACGCCCACACACACTCGCTATCCTCGCTCGGCAAGGTGTAACAGTGCTCGGCGAAGGAACCAAGCAGGCCCCAAGTTGCCCTACGATACAGATTCAGACAAGACCAACTATATACAATAACACATGCAAAGAAATAGTTTATCAGTATCATACCCACACTCTACCCGAAAAAAAAACTTTCTGAAGTCTAGACTAGGAAACAAGGCCATACCATGTTTCCTAAAATACTAATTAAGGACCCATGATTTTTTAGGACTAGAGAGAATGTGGTGACATCTTCTAGTAGAAAGACTGGTATCAAGAAAGGGTACTGATCAATTTTAAGATGGGGACTGGACGAAGGGTGTTAAAGGTCTTTTCAGGACTAATCTAACTCATGCAACCCATCTTTCAATTCCATAATACTACTCTCTCCAAGCAAAAAATCAAGGGTCAAACAGATTGTTCGCATAAAAAAAAAAAAAGAAGAGAGAGATTGTTTGCTGAACAGACCTTTTCTTTCAGAAGCTCTGATGCATTGACATCAACATCAACATTGGTTACTGGTGCAGTTTCCAACTTGGATGCCAAAACTAGTTGGTCCTGGATGAGAGAATATGTATCCAAGATAGTACGAAGAAGAAACTTGTCCAATCCATGTGCTGCTACAAATGAAAGAGATACATGATGATCCAGATTTTCCATGGGAATAGTAACCTGCAAAAGTGAGGATTCTTACATAGTTTTTATAATATTCTCAAGAGGAATAAAATAAGATAATGAAATTACATAGAGATACTGTTTTACCTCGCAACAGCCAGAAAGTGCAGCAATGCCTACAAATTTGTACATTCTATCCTCAAATCCAGATGATAGTCTTTCTTTAGAGTTTCTCTTTAGAGGATATCCAGCTGTGGTTGGTAGAACTAAAATTCCAGTATCCTAGATAGCATCACACGAAACAAAGAGTTAAAAGCAAAGATATCATGGACAAACCCTTCACTCAATCTAATAATGAACTTTTTGACAAGATTTATCATAAATTAGCACATGGTACCGCAATATGAAGGAATTCTCAAGTGATCAATATGGTCACTTAAAGGAATTGATAAAAAAATATCACATGCACACATTTTTATCATTTCTTCTGGGTCTACTATAACAAATGATAAATGTAGGATCCATTATCAGTTCCTTTTTCAACAACAACAACAACAACAAAGCCTTTTCCCAAACATACGTGAATAGCTGTTTTCCAAGCACTCCTATCTAAGGCTAAGTCTTTGGGTATATTCCATCCTTTCAAGTCTCCTTTTATTGCCTCTACCCAAGTCAACTTCGGTCTTCCTCCGCCTTCTTACGTTACTATCACGGCTTGATTAATTAAGACAGCTTTTCTTCAATTGTTGTCTTAACGAGGTGAGATTTTACGTGTTAATTAAGACACTTTGTTGTCTTAACGAGGTGAGATGGGCGGCATGGGCCTAGAGCCACTGGGTTGTCACCCTGAGGCATGGCTCAAAAAATCCAAATAGTCCCATTGTATTTCTATGGCCCTATATGCTGCTGTAGGATGCCCTTCTCCATCTGCAGGAGCAGGCCAAGCAGTGATTGGTGGTAGCAGTCCCAGCAGCCACCAGCTATCGCCCTATCTAGCTTGCTCACAATCCCTTGAGGCCTTGACACCCCAGCCATGCCTCGCCTCACTCCGCCCCATGCATCTCCCACTCGGCATCTCTTGCTCACCCTACCCCTGTGCGTCTCCCTCTCAACATCTCTTTCTCGACCCCTCCCTTCACACCAGCAAACCCTAGCTAAGCTACTACACAACCCTGTGACTGACGACCCAGATCCTGCAGTACCCAATCCCGAGGGGCACACCCAGACAAGCTGCGCCTGTGCAAGTCGCGCTGCAGCCGCAGCTGCTGTGCGGGCGTGCTGCTGTCCCCACCAGGCGCATCAGCACAGGGAGGGCCAGACTTCTGAAGAGCGTGAAGTTGAAGGCGTGCGTCCTTGTAGCATGACACACGCACAGCACGGAGGCGGAGCCACGAGAGGAACAGGAGCATATTACATGGAGAGCAGCACTGCAACAGCCTATAGAGACTGGCACTGCAGGTCTGCACTCTGCAGCATGCTAGGCACCGACACAGGCAGATCGCAGGGCAATCCCCACCAGGCACCAGGAGGCACACTGCGGCAGCCAGACAGGACTGCAGGA